CCCACCACGGGTATCGAAACCCGGTTTCTAGTGTTGTAAGTCCGAAGACATACCACTGTGCCACTGGGGGGCTTTTTACTCTGAAAAGTCCTTTAAAAAGTTTTCTTCGGTAAATTATCCTTCCCAGGTTATAGCATATGAAAGATTTTCATTCAAGTTTTTATTAGATCTTTAAGAAAGATGACAAATAATACAACTTAGAATTTTAAAGTTATTTTAATAAATTTCCCTTTACTGGATTATAGGTCTTAATTTATAAAGAAAAACGTCTTCTTAAAACATAAATATTACATAAGTAACTAGGAAAAGAAACATACCGGCGGAGGAAAATCTGGCCCTAAGGAATTATGGCCATCAGGGCCATAATCCATAACAGATGATCCATCCTTCGGTTTCTCCATGACAGGAGGTACAACACAGAATATGCTATATTCCGTACACTACAAGGCAACAGTCAGCACTAAGGCAGTGGATGCAGAGCGACTTCCTTAAAGTAACTTTTAGAGTTATATCTAATTGAGCTATAGGCCAATGACACCAAGGCCCACAGTCAGTAGCCCGTCACGAGGTGTGCAAAATCACTCAACTCTTCATGCAAGAAACTGACAACTACAATGAAAAGCCACCGTAGTCTGTTGCCTTCAGATTGTTGTCTTGGCAGCACCTGTAGTAATGATTTGACGAAGAAACGGACAGGTATGATACGGATGACCTAGATTCAAGTGGTTTACGAAACAAGCTTCTTGCTTGACTGTACACTTTACTGTATTTTCCTTTGTAAATGAAAGTTATCCTTGCGAAGCCAAGCAAGTATACAGGAAACGGTTTGTTTGGCTCTTACTATTTAGAATATATATAGATAGAGAAAAAGATTTATATTAAAAATCTAGCATACGTCGATATAATAATTCCTTATTGAATCAGTTGACCTCCTGAGAATACAATCAGAGCATGAAAGTCTTGCAGGTGCAGCTATTCCCAATAATTCGAAGATTTGTGTACAAAAAATTAACATACTCATTCTGAAAAAAAAATGCTTCAACTGCATATGTCTCGCGTTAATGATGAATTTCCTTTTGCGCTGTGATTTTTTATTTTATTTTCCTACAATAGAAAATTACTTGAACAGGACTCAAGCTCTTCTAGCGGACGAAATAAGTTTTTTTGTCACTTTTATTGACTTTTATCAAGTTTATGGAAGTTCGAAATCTCACGTTGACTTATAATAACTTACATATTGTCCCCTTATTGAACTTATGACGCAAAAAATCGGGTTTCAATACCAGTGGTGAGCACAACACAAATAACCTATTTTGTAGCTTTGTGTTTCACAACAAACAAACAAACTTATCTCTTTAGAAGTAGGCAGATTTAGGTGTTAAAAACTGGACAGTAAGTGGTTTAATAGAACCTATAAAGGTAACATAAACATGCATTTACAGGTAACAGTCTTCATCAATTTCAGCCCTGTGTGAAATTCTAAGTACAAAACCAACCGTGTAGTCCATGACCTTGTTACGCACTTGTATAATACTCACAAAAAATCTAGAAAAATTACTCGTTCCTCTTGAGGAAATGGCATTGTGTGTAATCCTTTATCACTCGTAGCTTGAATTAATAGTATTGTGTGTAATCCTTCATCACTCGTAGCTTGAATTAATAGTATTGTGTGTAATCCTTCATCACTCGTAGACTATTAATTCAAGACACACAATAATCCTTCATCACTCGTAGCTGTAGCTTCACATCCACACTGACTCTGGTCTTCAGCCTTAATCAGAGCTGAACTTCCGCTGGTACTTACTGAAACTGTGTACCAAGTTTTATAGAGAAGAATGCAATAGTTTGTTATAGCTTCACATCCACACTGACTCTAGTCTTAAGCCTTAATCGGAGCTGATGTTCCGCTGGTACTTACTGGAACTAGGTACCAAGTTTTATAGAGAAGAATACGATAGTTTGTTATAGCTTCACATCCACACTGACTCTGGTCTTCAGTTATAATCAGAGCTGAACTTCCGCTGGTACTTATTGTAATTCACTATCGGTTCATTTTGTTGTTCCAAGTGGAATACTTTTTATTGAAGACGATATAAAGTTCCTTCAGTTATCTAAGGCGAAGTTTACCACTTAATTCAATACCAAAAGCGATAAAGGCAAAACTATATGACGATTATAATTGATTGTGGAATCTCATTCAACGCTACATGCGTCACAGACACGTGATGTATGGCAACAAATCAACTCATGAGTTAGTTTGGATGGTTAATTACTTATTAAACTTTATACAAACCTATCTATACATGAACTACCAAATAAATAAATATTTTTTATTAAGAAAATTATCCTGACCACCAGTCATCCCAACTAACAACATTTAAAGAAATCTCTCTTATATGTTTGTATGTGTTTGGAACGGGTGAGGAGAAGAAAGCATGTGTCGAAGACCACTCCCCTCCCCCACAAAAAAAAATAAGTTAATGAAAATTCGGGTTATACCTAGTTTTAAGATACTACACTATAATGATGCGTAAATATCACGATTTCCTGTAACTCAAAAACTGGTTGTTACTACTCTAACGAAACTTGTATAGTCATGAAACATTTAAAAGAACCAGATCTATAGCCATCGTATTAAATCAACTCACACCGTTTTGATTTTGTAATGGTAAGATAATAATGGACAAACGGTTAAGTCAGTTAGCTGGTTTACTGACAAACAAGAAAATGCTTAATGTTATATTACATTGGTTGTTGTGCTTATACTTTATTCTTTTCAGCAAGATTAACTATTTATAAA